TTCTTGTAGCTCAGTGTGACAAATTGGAATCTGGAAATTCAGAGGTACTCGTAGTTTTTTTTATTAATTTAGGCTGTATATAAGATCCCTATTTTTGTGTTTTTTTATGAAAATTTTGAATTTATTCACTTTTTATGAAGTCGTAACTTTTAATATTTGTTTACATGTTTATTGAATTTTTATATTTTTACAAGACACTCAAAGCTTCAAAGGACAGTAAATCAACAAATGTTGTTCCTCATGTAAGTCAAGATTTTGTGTATCATTTTTAAACTCAATACTTGTGTAATAAATATCATTAATAAGCCTCCCATATTTTATATAATTATACATGTATATGATTATGATCAAACTGTATCAAACAATCTTAACTCGTTTTATGATTACATGTATCATAACTGTTATCACTTACAACTTTAAATAACTTTTCATTATTTGTGTCCATTAAAAAAATTTCATGTTTATTGTTACTTTTATTTTTTTTAAAGACAATCAACAATCCAGATGGAAAATACCCCAAATCCGATGATCATGAAGTAAGTCAGGTTTTAGACAAGTTTTATGTTTTTTTTTCCGTACATCCTAATGTGTGATTACAATATATAAATTTGGCTTAACTTCCAGTCTCATTAAATGTTCATTATCATATCGACAATTTCATTTTATAAGGTTTTTTGTGTCAACACCCCTGTTCGGAATCTAATTGAAGTGGATTATGAATTAAGTGCTCCAAGACATACAATTCCTAGAGTATGTTATTTAATTTTATAAGTACATTTGTTATACCATTTTTTGGGTCATTACTTTTAAGGTGTTGTTATTTTTATGAAATTAATAGGTAAATCAACCAAGTTTTGTATTTGATATACCCCCGCAAAAAGTGCTTGGAGTATCTAAAAAATCTCATGAGGATGATGTTGAACAAATGTCATGTCCAGTCCCTATCCGTATTTTGGATCACATGAAACTGACAACCGATTCACAGTTTGAATTGGACGATCAATTCATGCCTAGTCTCAATTCTATAAATAGTAGCATCGCACCACATTCAACTGTGATAAAAGGACACACTGAACAGCTGCCAACAACAGTTGCAGGATGCATTACAACAAAGGAAGATCAGGCCACTATCGATGTCCAATTGGGTACGAACGATGAAAATTTGATGATAGTTCAACCTATCGCAATAACGAACAGACGCCATTACCTACGCGTAGGAATAGACGTCTAGGTCTTATAATACATCTCCGTATTTGACCAATTTTGGATCATCTACTGGTACAGTATTTCATTATTTTAATACTTTTGTTAATTTAATCATTTTTTTATTGCTACTGTTAGTGTGTATTTAATTTATAGTGTTTTGAACCATCTCAGGTAGTTCATCAAGTCAGCCCCACATTTTTGAATTGAAACACCCTTTTATATTTGATTTGATATCTGACGATTATGATATAACATTGTGGGATGCGTTTCGTTCATGGATCCGAGATGGCTTACTTACAAAGCATGACAGAAAGTAAATCATTGGTGAATAATTACAAGATATTTTTAAAACATAAGTGTTTAAATTTTTGTATCCGGTTAAATGTTTGTTTGTGTTTCAACAACAGTTATTGTTAGATGCAGCTTATATATAGGTTTTCTTAATTTTTTTTGTATTTAAATGTTGATAGTAATTACTTTACTTTTTTAATGAATGATATAATGTTTCTATTTTTATTCTGTTTTTAGGAAGCATGATCAAGACCATTACAAGAAGAATCTAGCTGAAATTTCTATGGCCATTAACCTTGGCGTTCTCATAGTAGACAATAAGAATTGGTTCTATAATCTGTTTTTCAAAGGACAGTTATTGAACAATTTGGTAAGAGATATTTAGCATTTATATTTACAAACAATGATTATTAGTAGTTATAGTATTTATACATTTGTGTTTAAATTTGTCAGCGTGTTGATGTGATTTTATATTATCTACGGAAAAAAGCCAAAGTATGATGTTGGAGGAAGCTATAAATACACAACTTTAAATTGTGTATTTAGTTCAAAGATCTCTGCTATTTGGAAAAAATGTTTGGATTTAGATAGCGGTGTTGGTTGTGCCGATGAAGAGCATGTCATTGGTGAATACATTAGAAGGTACAAAATGCATGCTGCTACACCTTGGCATAAGATCGATTACGTTTTTGTTCCTGTCCACGTCAAGGAGAAATTTCATTGGGTGTTGGCTGTGATATCATTTAATGTTTAGTGTATCAACGTGTATGACTCATATAGGGCAGCAGGTCACGATGTAGCTATCAAGGCAGAGATAGTTAAACTGTCTCAGTTGATCCCTTTGAAGTTATCAGTCAATGAATATTACAACAATAAAGGAATTGATGTATCGCAAGCTCAACAAGAGAATGAGTTCTTTAATGTAGTATTCATAGATAATGTTCCTCAACAGCCGCATGGGTCTCTGTAAGTTTGTGTTTTTTTTTAATTTTACTATCATCAAATTATCAATATTATATTTTGTACTAACTTTTAATTTCTTATATTATAGGGATTGCGGTATTTATATGCTAGCTTTTGCCGAATACCTATCATATGGACAAGGTATTCCAGCGAATATTTTGGATGCATCGTGTTTACGGTCAAGATATGCTACACTTCTTTGGAATTATGGCCAATAAAAGAATGATGCCGGAGCAATAAGTGACAATGAAGCGCCTCCACGATATAA